CTAATTGTTGGCAATTAGAATAAAAGTTATAGCTCACTTCATTAAGTGTTTTGATATTAATCCTTAGAACAGGACTGATTAATTAATTTTTCACAGGGAAAAAAAGAAGTCAATGAAGATGTTGACTGGAAATTTTAGGCCATGTTCTGCCTTCACTTCTTCCACTTCTTCGAAAAAATGCGTGCACATTTTCTAGCAGAATCTGGGTGCTTTGCATATAAATATCCATTATCCAGCCTAGAAGAGTGTTTGTGAGCAAGAGAAATGTCAGCTTGAGCAAAACATGTACAATTAGCAATGACAGTGGTAACACATGACGATGGTTGACAAACCTACAGAATGTTTTTATTTTATCTGTCAGGATTGAAGTTTCGGAAATGCACTGGAAAACAGAGCTTAACTCCTGCTTTCGCTTAGCACATCAGAGGCTTGAAATTGTTAAAATTATGACAAATGGTTAAAGCTCAGTAACAATCAAACAAAAAAAGCCAGGTTCTACTGATGAAAACCAATGTTAACATTTTCTGAGCCAAGACTCAACAGGACTAAAATAAATGAGTCAGAGCAGTTATTACTTAGCTTATGCTGCTATATTATTATCCAAGAAGGACTTAATGATACAGGCTATTGTAAATTTACCAACAGGCCTCCGAGTTTTGTATCTGTTGAAACACATAATGGAGATGGCTGATGTTTACCAGCTCTGCTCAAGAGAAATGCCGTGGTCTGAATGTTCGGTAAGGGTAAAAGGATGTGACTTGGTTCATTTAAACATTACTGCCACTGCTTGGCCCGCAATTGCTTTGCAATACCCCATTTTCATTAGTGTCTCTGGCAAAAATGGGCAACGACATACAAGCTTCATTTACGCAGAAATTAGGTAGGATCCTTTTCGGTTTGTTTTCATAATTAAAATAGTAGAAAGAAAGATGTTTTTTAAAGAACAATGTAAATCTCCTTAAAGGCAAAAAGCCTCCTTGCTTTATCAGTCTGAAATCAACTGCAATAAGCTGAAATGCCTCAGCAGGGAGGGTTTGAGACAACCTGCAGTCTGTTTGCAATAAAGGAGGGATGTGGCTGTTGTAGGGGGAGTGCAGGAAAAGGTGATGGGAGAGTTAACCACCCATTGCATTAATCCTGTCTGAACATCAGTGTCAGGCTGCCTGCCAATTTGGGCACATATCACTGGGTGGCTGTCTCAGTGTTTGTTCTCCAGCTGGGATGACTGTGCTCTATCTCCAGCCTCTTCCCTGACATAAAGAGAAATTATCTCATCATTACATCACTCCAGGTGGGCCCAAGGCACTGGCCTACAGTGCTTATACTGTAATCTGTCCCTTGTATTTGCTCTGGGTAATAGCACAGCCATCAAACAGCTGCATCACACAACCAACAGACCAGCAAGCTGCAATGCAAAGGCTGGAGCAAGTGTCCAGGGACACGTGTGGCCAATGATCCCCTATGCCAGTGTTGCTAGGGGACTTCCTGTTTTAAGCCACAACATTAATGAAACTAAAAAACCAGCACCCTCTGCTGCTCAAGCTTCTTCAAGGAAGCTTTCCAGATCTGCTAATTAGCAGGGCCTGGCACCCGGGGCTCAGCAGCAGAATCCAAACCGGGGGAGTTTTGCACACCTGGACAAGAGCAAAGGGGCAGACAGCATCCACTCACCTCAACTGCAGCTTCAGAATAGCACTGCAAAATCCATGTACGTGGGATGCAAAGACCTGAGAGGATGCTCTTCTAAGCCCAACTCGCTTGCAGTGACTCAACAGAGGCACAGCTAGGAACCTAATCAAGGCCACCTCTTCCCCTCTTCTCACCACTAGACCGCATAATTATCTTTGCCTCTTGCCACGGGGGGAACATGTGACAACTCCAAATAGAAAAAGTGACAACTAGCAAACAAGAGAGCTGCCTGAGTTGCACTTTTCCTATTGCAAACCCTCGGGATTGAGCATATTCTGGATTTCCTGGGGTGAGGCAAGCAGTCTTAAGAAAGAAGCCCTTCTGAAATGTTGTTATTGAAGACCCACTTGTAGAGGAGAGGTGATTCATCACCCACTGCAACACCCTACTTGGCCCTGCAGAGGGATCAGGTAAGGCTGTCACCCTACCAGAGACTCTGCTGGCTGGACAGCCTTGTGAGCGCCACTCTCAGCCAGAGCAGCCAACACTTACGGGAACTCTGTCACTTAGGCTTGACCAGGAAAACACCACAGAAACCACCAAGACCAGCAGGTTGACTTTGGCAGCGGTGGAGAGGAGACCGGCCCAGTGAGACATTGCCACCAGCCTGAAATGCACAGGAAAACAAAACCAACAATATTTTAGTTCACATTTTCACAGGTTTCAGCATTCTTTACATGACATTCTGCAACACAGCACGGGTTCAGGGGTGCGACACCGCAGGAAACAGAACACCTCAAGGTGTTAGTGCATGGGTCTCATCGAGGGCAGCCGATAGCAAGGGGTGCCCACTTTACTGCTAATGGAGTTTATGGCAGGTAATGACAAAGTAGCTTATATTGACCCCTCAGGGGCTTATATCTCTCCTGAAAAATATGAAGAGACCTGCAAATCTTGTTTAAAACCACTGTGTTAGTACCATGGATGACAACTACAGGGAAAAATAAAAATCAGTGCAATCCTGCAAAGGCTTTTTATGCCCGTGCCTCATTTTAAACACAGAATTAGCTGTGTTCATTTGAATTAAAACTATCAGCCATCAAAGATCAGCGGTTTATCTAAATCCATATGTAGGTTTTTCTTCAGAAAACAACATTCTGCAAAGGTCAACAAGGTTTACTTGGTGGTTCTTACACTTGCAGTGGACCACAAAGCAGTCCCGTGGCATACAACCACCCTGACTGGCCACAGCCCACCTACTGAACAAGACAGTGGGAAAGAAAGAAGGATCCTGCTCTTGTAGCTGCCAGTCACCCTGGTACGGAGCTTGTATCCCCACCACTATGTGTGTAACCACGCTCATGCACACGTGTGTCCCCCACTGCCTCGCAACACAAGGCTTTAAATCCACCTACAGCATTCAGCTCACTGCTTCTCACACTGGGGTAGGGAACAGAGCAGCTTGCCAGCACACAGGCTGGAGAAGTATTTCCTTTGATTGCCTCTAAATTTACATGTTGCTAAATTAAACTAAATGAGGTCTTTTGAAAGAAGATAGGACTGATTAGTTCCGTTCAAACATTCCTTCATTACTCATCCCTCCATCAAGTCTGCTCCTACTCCTATCCAGGTTTTAAAGAATTTCCTCCCATACATGCAGTCCTAAATATCTATCTTTCAGTCTCTGTTGTCCATCAGGATGGCACATCACATTGCAGATTTCTTCCTTCCCTGAAGCAACCATCTTCTATTCCACAAAGCAGAAAATATGCTCACAGGCGCACCCAACACCAACTCCTGCCACCAAAGGACCTCTTCCCCCAAAAAACTTCACAGATGCAAAGGAAGTGGAGCCCTCTCCTTCCACTCCCTTACTGCTATCTTGTCTCCCCACTCTGTTATGTTATTTCTTTCTCTTCCTGCTTGGTTTTTGCTTTAGCCAAAAAAAGAAAATAAAAGGCAAAACACCGCATGACGCTGGTCAGTGGCGGACATCTAGGAAAAAGCAGCAGAGCGGGGAGCACATATGGTAATACATCTGATGTGCTTCCACATCTTCCAAAAACTCCTGACCCAGGGTCTTCCTGAACAGCCAGCCTGTGTCTTTGAGCTCAAATCCAGCTCAACCAGATTTTTGTTTTTCCCATTAATTGCTTTTGGAGCAGATCTGGACTTCTGACACCCACAGCAACTCAGCAACAAGTTCCACTGCTTAATTCACACCGTGCATGAAAGTACCACCTTGCATTTCTGACCTGGTGCTTGATATCCTCCTTCGATGTACTCCTCTTTTCTAAAGGGTCGAAGAACCACCTCAAGGACCCACAAGCCCTTATTAAGCTACAATCAGAGTAGAAGAAAGCTCTCCATTTTCAGAAGACAGGCAAAAACCTCTGGCCAAAGCCTCCATCTCTCTCTTGGGGCGCTGCCAAGTACAACCAGGCTACAACTAACATCCAGGTTCCTGAGCTGGAAAACCCAGAGAAGAGTTCATGGGCTCAAACTCCACCTGCTCCCAGCAGACTGACATACCCTTCTGGCCAATGCCACAGCAGGACCTCAGACTCAGACTGACCAAGACATACAGTCCTCCCCTCAACTCACCTCAGAAGAAACTGCTGCTTTGTATGTAGGAAACATTTTTGTGGTTTTTTTTTTTTTTGGGGGGGTGTGGGATAGTTATAAAACAGGCGGCAAAACTGGGATAATGAAAAATAGATGTATCCCTAAAACTTTACCTGAAAACCTGGAAATAAAAAAAGAAGAAAAAAAAATTCAACAAAGCAGCAGCTGAAAGAAAACACGCACTCCCATAAAAATAGAGCTCACGTGTACCAAGAAGGCTGGTAGCAAATGACAGTACAGCCTCTTTAAAGCCTACAACCTCATGCCTGCCTGCAAGATGACATCTGCACAACAATTAGCAGTTTGCTTAGGTCCCAGGTAGGCATGAGGAGCTAACATGTGAAACATGGGGGTTTGAAGCTCCTGGAGAGAAGCCCGCGCAGGCTGACATCTCATTACAAGACAGACATACGTAGAGGGCATGAGAGGATTTCCAAACCAAATGTTACGTAGATACAACGCATTTTTAGAAATGACCCTTGCAGCTTGCAAAGCAGAAAGGGTGGTAACCGTGACCCCACCTGCATGGGTGGCATTTGCTCTGATTTAAGGACATCATTTTGGGATCCAGCAGCACCCACATACAGCTGCAACTGGTCAGCACCAGAACCACTACAGGAGGACCGCAAATTCCCCTTGTGCAGAGTGGGGTGTTTGGGGTTCCCCCCCCAATAATCCTCTTTTTTCAAAGAAAATCAGGTACTAGGGAAAGGGAAAAGGGTCACAACTCAAAGAAGCCTCTGTTCCCAGCAGCAGTCCTCCCATCAGCGCAGGTGATGTTCTCAGCTTCGCAGCACAGGGAGGTTCTGCTCCACAGCTCCAGAAAACCCCATCTGCACCAGTGGCTGCAGAAACAATAGCATTGCCATTATGTTCTCTATTAGCAGGGACATTTTTACTGATTTTACTAGCTGTGCATCAGTAAGTGCTGCACAGCCCCGTGAATGCTGTTGCCATAGTCATAGGTGACAGTTCAAAGCAAGTCAGTAAGAGGAACATATTTCATTAATGCCTTCTGCTGCTGGGAATGCACCGCTCTTTCATGTTCTAACTCAAAGCCCACGCTGTGTGTACTGTGCCACTCCAATAAATCCACCTGAAGCCTCATCTGAATTCTGATCCACTGCTCTGGGAGAGCACACGGACATCCCAGAGAGCAACCCAGCCCCCTCACCAGGCTTTGGTTTTACAGCCAACTGGAAGCAATAACAATAAGCTAATCCTTGTTCTCATCTCAGGATTGAGGGAGTAGCTTGGGAATTACACATCTTGCAAAACTGCCTGCATATTTACTAGTTCAGGCAGGGTATCTGTCCAGCCATCCTTTCTCAAGATGGCTGGTGGTAATGACAGCACCAGTAGCACTTTGTGTGTCTATGAGCACAAATAATTCACAGAGCTCCCTTCGCTGAGCATAGGGCAGCACTGGAGAACAATCAAACAACAAAAGACATCAAGGAACACATCCCAAGCACCCTTCAGCTGAACCAGTGACATGAAGACCTGCAAGCACTCACAGACTCTTAGGATGAAGCCGAAGTTTGATGGGCAATAACAGTTAAGGAAACTGTTTTAAAGACAGACGTGTAAATTAGGATGTCTGATAGAAGAGGCGCACTCAGGACACAAACTGCAATCAGTGTCAAGTGAAGATCCCCATTCAACCACAATGTCATTTTACTGATGCTGGCATCTATGGCCAAGACCAGCGAGATGTGCTAAGTGATATGCAACGCAAGGGAGAAAGAGAAGGAAATTTAGCTGACCTGACCTGAAATTTTCTGCCTCTGAGCAATAGGGTCCCCAGGTCTGTAACAAGCACCCGTTTTTGCTGACTTGCTACTGAACAGCAGAGCAGTGTCAGTCACATGCCTTGGGAATGTCCCGTGACCAGAGACCCCTCCTCCTCTGATGACTGTGCAGCTACACCAACAGGAGAAAGAGGAGGTTTTAATTTGAAATTCAGCCTGTGCTTAAGAGAGGAAACAGCTGGTGGACAGAGGATTACTAGGAGGCCACAGGACACTCTGTCCTTCCCTGTTCATTACAGTCAGGTCTGCACAACCCTCTGCTTTCAAACAGATGAGCAGGACCAACCTGCAAATATGATCATCCTCTCTTCTTCGCAGAGGCACAGAGACCAAAGGCTCCTGTTAAGTACACACTGAACTAAGAAACGCCAGCCTGGAAATACTCATGTTTTGGTGGACACAGGCCCAGATGACCATGTGTCTGCTTAGCAGGTCTCAATCCTGAAGACCTGCCTCAGCTCTCCCTGCCCTGACAGTACTTGGGCATTGCACCATGGCTTCTGGCACGAAGCACAGGATTTCTTGGACTTCCTCTGGAAATGGGAGACATGAGAAGACAACTTGCCCATATTAAAACCCCAAATGGCTCTCATAAGACAGAGCACAGGTCCTGTCCTTCCAAACATGTCTACCCAGTGATGGTTACCTGCAGCACGTTTTCATGCAGAGGATTCAGGAGGAAGAGGTGAGCCGACGCGCAAGATGCAGCAAGAGCCACAACGAGCTATCAAACTTTGCACAATGTGAGCATTCCCCACTGCCTTCACTAAAAACAGGACTTGTGAGTCTCTGATACCGCTCTT